TGGAACCAGAAATCTTGGAGAGTGAAGTGAGATGGGCCTTAGGATGCCTTGGAGATAACAAGGCTGCAGGAGTTGATGAAAGCCCAATTGAACTATTCAAAATTCTGCAAGATGATGCTGTGTAAATTCTGCTTGCCTTATGCCAACAAATTTGGAAAACTCAACAGTAGCCAAAAGACTGAAAAAGGTCAGTCTACATCCCAACCCCCCAAAAAAGGCAATGGCAAAGAGTGCTCCAATTATCGAACAATTGCACTAATTTCACATGCCAGCAAGGTAATTTTTAAGATCCTACAAGCTCGACTCAAACAATATATGGACTGGGAATTACCAGATGTACAAGCTGGGTTCCGCAAAGGATGAGGCACAAGAGATCAAATTGACAATGTACAATGGATAATAGAGAAAGCCAGAGAGTTCCAGAAAAAAACTACTTCTGCTTCATAGCCTATTCTAAAGCCTTTGACTGTGTGGATCACAACAACATGTGGCAAGTTCTTAAAGAGTTGGGAGTACCAGATCATCTCCTCCTGAGGAATCTGTACGTGGACCAAGAAGCCACAGTCAGAACCGAACATGGGACAACAGAATGGTTCAAGATTGGGAAAGGAGTGTGACAAAGTTGTATATTGTCACCTTTTTTATTCAACTTATATGCAGAATGCATAATGCGTAAGGCTGGGCTAGATGAATCCAAAGCTGGAATCAATATGGCTGGAAGAAATATCAACAACATCAACAGCTCTGATGGCTGAAAGTGAGGAAGAACTAAAGAACCTGTTGATGAGGGTAAAAACAGAGCGTACAAAAGATGGCTTCTTCCTTAACTTTAAAAAGACTAAGATCATGGCAAACAGCAATCTTAGTCCCTGGGAAATAGATGGGGAAGATGTGGGGGCAGTGACAGATATTATTTTCCTGGAATCCAAGATCTCTTAAGATGGTGACTGTAGTCATGAAATTAAAAGACGTTTGCTTCTGGGGAGGAAAGCTATGGCAAGCTTGGACAAGCTGGTAACAACTAAAGATATTAAACTATCAATAAAGTCCGCATGGTCAGAACTATGTTATTCTCAGTAGTAACATACTGATGTGAGAGCTGGACTATAAAGAAGGCTGAGCATCATAGAATTGATGCCTTTGAACTGTGGTGTTGGCGAAAACTGCTTAGGATCTCTTGGATTGCAAGATCCAATAAATCCGTACTACAGGAAATCAAGACAAACTGATCACTGGAAGCTGTGATCATGAGGCTGAAGCTCAAATGTTTTGGCTATATAATGAGAAGGCAGGATTCTCTAGAGAAGACTCTGATGCTGGGAAAGATGGAAGGCACACGAAGAAGGGGACTACAGAGACAGAGATGGATAGATGAAGTCACTGAAGCCATGAACAGGAAGTTGTTGAAGCTCAAAGGGGCAGTGACTGACAGATGTACCTGGTGTGCTATGGTCCATATGGTCATAGAGAATTGGACATTACTGAATAACTAAACAACAACAAGGTCATTTGTAACTTTAATAAGAGCAGTCTCAGAGTGGAGGGGGCAAAAGCCAGACTGAAGTGGATCGAAGAGGGAGATGGAATTTAGGAAGTGAGTCAAACGAGTAATGACAAGTCTTTCTAGAAGTTTTGAGGAAAAAGGAAGCAGGCATATAGGACAATAGTTGGAAGGGGAAGATGGGTCTAGGGATGGCTTTTTAGGATGGGTACGACAGTAGCATGCTTAAGGGGAGCAGGGACAACACCAGATGAAAGAGGATCAAGATGTGTGTTAAGCATGGTACAAGACAAGGGGAGAGAGATCTGATAAGGTGGGAAGGTGCTGGATCAAGTGGACAGGTGGTGGGACAAGAGGAGAAGCTAAGCCACCTCCTGTTCTGTAGTTTTGAAGAATGCCTGTAGGATAGAGTAGGGAAGGTACGGTCTATGTGTGGTTGTGAAAGGTAGAAGCAAAGGGGGAGAATTATTTCCCTGTTAAATCTTGCTGGTAAAGTAGCAGGCAAGGCTATCTGCCAAAAGGTCAGTTTAAAGGGTGGCTTGAGGTGGGCGAAGGAGAGAGTTGAAGGTATTAAAGAGACGCCTGGGATTGCATGAGCATGAACTAACAAACGATGAAAAGTAGGAAGTGTTTAGCAAGGGTGAGGGCTGTACTATATGAAGGCAAAATTAATTTATACTGGAGGAAGTCTGACAAGGTGCAGAACTTTCTCCAGCAGCGTTTCAGCTGAACGGGAGCATCTCTGCAGGTAGCGTGTTGTCTTAGTGTTCCACAGTTGGAGTTGCACCCTCCTTGAGGTGAGTGCATGGAGCAGGGCTTCAGCGTCTAGGGCAGAGGTGAGGCTAGCGTTTTTATGAAGAGATTGCCAGAGAGGGACAGGAGAGGGTAGGGATGGATGGGAGTTCAGAATGGATTACAGCTGATAACTGCTGGAGATCAAGAGAATTCACATTCCTCCTGAGTTGAGGGGATTAGGTTGAGGATATTGCATGTGGGGGCACTCAAAAACAAATGATAGGAGGGGGTGGTCTGATAGAGGAAATGGAGTATTACAGAAATTGGAGACTGAGCATGCATTTGAAAAATACGATCTAGGGTATTGCCAGATACATGTGTGGGAGAATGCATTGCGATAGGCCAGAGGAGGAAGTGATTGAAATAAGTTTTGAGGCTACCGAGGACAAAGGTGGGTTTATGGGAATGTTGAAATCTCAGAGAATTAGGGATGGGATATTGCTTAAAAGGAAGGAAGCCAATCAGCCAAACAGTCAAGGAAGAGACGAGGAGAACCAGGGGGCTGATAAATAACGGCAATGTTTGCAGATATGGGTTTGAATAAGCAAATTGAGTGAATTTCAAAGGAGGAGAAAGAGAGGGAAGGGTTGGTAGAGGCTTGAAGCCCCAGTGGGGTGAAAGCATATATATATATATATATATATATATATATATATATATTATTATTATTTTTTTTATTAACTTAATTTTGTTTAATTTAAAACTTTTTTTTACTTCTTCACCAGCAGGGGGACTGCCTGTGAGTCACCTGCAGGCAACACCATGCCTGTCAGTTCCCCTTCAGGTAGTACCCCTGCAGACAACACCATGGATGCCTATTGTGGCCATGTGACCGCTTTTTCAGAGCAATCACATGGCCTGTGAGTTCCTAATTTGCCGAGGGGGGACTGTCTGGGCTGTCAGACAGTCCCCCCAGCTGGAGAGGAACACCGATCGGGTAAGTGAATGGGAATAGAGTGAGAGGGAGAGAGGGAGGGAAGAGGAGGGAAGGGGAGGGAGGAATTGAAGGGGAGGGAGGGAGGGAAGGAAGGGGAGGGAGGGAAGGGGAGGGAGGCTAATATTTATTTATTTATTTTTTATAATTTTGTAATTTACTGAGTGCCTCAGCACACAGGCAGAGCATCGGAAGCCTGCCCGATGGTTTCTGTTGCTCTGCTACACTGCCAGGCACCACATGGGGCACCCTGGAAGTGATCGCTCCTGGGGGAATGATCACTCAGGGGCCTGGCAGTCATATTTGCCGTGAATGTACAGAGTATGTGAGTGCTCCTTAACAAACTTTTTTTGTCTGACGTACCCTGTACGTCTGCGGTCGTTAAGGGGTTAAACCTTCAGAAAGTGCTTCTTCTTTTTATTATTATTATTTATAAAGCACCAACAAATTCCATAACACTGTACAATAGGTGGAATAGAAGACATGTATTTACAACAAGATGATCTGAACATATAGGAACAGAGGGTATTGAGGGCCAGTGTAAGGATTGACAGAGAGGGGGAGCATGGGTGGTGTGGGCAGTCAGGAAGATGAGCCTCACAGCTGCATTCATTATAGACTGTAATGGGCCCAGCTGGGAATGCATAAAACCATGGAGAAGCAGATTACATTAGTAAAGGTGAGATATGATAGGGGCATGGACCAGCAACTTGGCTGCATCCAACATTAGACAGGGGCGGACACGAGCTATATTTTTGACATAGAAGTGTCAGGATTTGGCAAGCGACTGGACTTAAGGGGTGAAGCAGAGGTCAGAACACCTAGGCAGTGAGTCTGCAAGGTAGTGCAGATGGTAGTGCCATTGACTTGTATGGAGACAGACACGGGAGTAGCAACACTTGAGTCTTGCTGTTTAAACATCAATACACTAGCAATAAATCCATTGTATCAGTGCTATAGGATGAAGATTGCTCTGCTTGGGGAAGTGTTCCCAACCAGGACCATTTCAGCTGGAGGAATGACACTTTGGGACCTCTCTGTCATGGTATTTATAGCCTATCATAAATAAAAATGTTACGGCTTTATTATCATTATTATCATTATTATTTATAAAGTGCAAACAAATTCTGCAGCACTCTAAAATGTTTAGACTAACAGACATGTATTTGTAATCAGACGAGTAAACATAGAAACGGAGGGGGTTGAGGGCCCTGCTCAATGAGTTTGCATGCTAGAAAGAGTGGGGTATGGTAAGGGTTGTGTGGAAAAGTAGGTTGCTATAGTGGTGTTCACTGAGGGCTTAGTGATTTTTGTTGTTGTTGGTTTGCTTGTTTTAGAAGCTGCTCTCCTTTAAAGTGAGCCTGCCATGTATTGTTCACTTTCAATTATCTTGCCTAACAGTGCCCGGCAAGGAGTCAGAACCTACGTGGAACTGGCCCTGTTCCCCCCCTCTGGACTGGTGGGAGTGATCCCAGTCCTCATCCTTCTGCCCCACTCACCAAAACGCATCTAAGACCCAGAGACAAAGCCTTCCCGCCCAGCGGCCCAAGATCTGCATCTAAGATGGCGGAGGCCATGTGCGCAGGTACCGCTGCCAGCTAACAGAGCTCCCCCCGTGCACACCGTGCCCAGTGCGGCTCATTGGTACAAGTTGGCTCAATACATAAAGCAGCCTTCTACACATAAGAAACATAGAGCCCCAACACGACGTTTGCCCCCTGAGTCTCAGAGCGGGGCATCGGGTCCAACACGGGAGCAGACCCGAGGTGGATGGAAGAGAGGGAGGGACATCAAACAAGAGACTGCATCACAGTGGCTGCCATCGGCTATCTGCCATGGAAACCTACCCACAGGATGACCCAGGGAGCTGGTTCCCAATGCAAGACAACGGATCCTTACCCTGGTTTGCCATACAGCCCCTTCCGCTCAGCCGTCCTGGAACCGCGACGCATACTGACCGCTGACATACAGCAGGATCATGCTAAACCCATGGAGGGTATCGGCTCAGATGACGTCTAAGAGGACTCTTGGCAGATATGATCTACTGACTCACTTCCACTCAGTATACGCACTGCGAAACTGTGAGATCGTGATCTAAGCCTCGCTCATGTGCCAATCTCACCAAGCATACCCACAATTAAATATGGGGGTCTATGGGGTGAAATATGTCCCTCAGTTATCACAGATACCTAGCTTAATGTAAGCAACATACATTGACCTACATATTCCTCTCTAAACTGTAATGTCTAACCTAACCTATCTTAGTGTGCTTACTCGATGTCTTACCTAATCTACTATGCTATTGACTCGTATGCATGCCTCCTTAATTCTGATAATCATTATACTCATCTCGGAGACATACTAGATATGTTAAGCATGTTAAGACCATAAAACAAAAAATGTGCAATCTAACATGCCGCTGCTTAGCTTGATTGCATTTGTATACACTGTTGTGGTGTTTGAAAATGTTATGTACTCACCTGCACAACAAAAATAAAGAATTTTAAAAAAAAATTAAAAATAATTTAAGTTCATTTTATGACATTTTTTCTTCTTTTTTTTTTTACTTAGTAAGTAATTCTAACAATGTTAATGATTCGAGCCAAAATAACAGAATTAGCGACTATTTCCAACTTAGCCAAGTTGATAATTTGTTTTTGCTTATTTTAGCCTAAATTATTCACGCTGGATTTCAAAGTCACTGCAATTCAATGTTTAGAGAATAAAACATTTTATTATAAAGTGCCAACATATTCATTCATGTTGTGCCTTCTATATAATTAAACCAATGTCAGCAATAATTAAATCTAGGGCCTTGTTACTACAACTTTTTGTCAATTTTTATAAGAGTTATACAAATTAAATCCAAGTGACATTTTTTTGCAAAATAGTTGTCATCCTGAAATTGTGCGCCGTGTACAATTTATTTTATTTCTGATTTTTTTCTTTACTTCCCTGAAGCCAAATGCTTTTCATTTTTATACAGCCAATTCAATTGCACAGATTTATTTCAAACACTTTTCAGCTGCTATCCTTCTTGCACAGCATGTCTGAACTCTGCCTGAAGCAGTTCAATTTCCCCTATACACTGCGAGTTAATTCCTTATGATTCCTTTCTTACGACACAGAAAGTGACACTTGCATTAATTATTATACTTAATTTTTGATTATATAAAAACCTCAATCCAAATGTGTCAGCAATAAATGTAAACATTGTCACTGTAATTTAAAGGACTTAAAATGATGCTGTATTTCTTTCACAAGCTACTGGTAGAGGTAATAGAACTTCAAAAAGGTATATATCTTTGATTAACGCTTATGGTTACGGATTTATTAATAGAAAGGTACAGTGTATATGAATCACAATTCTCAGTGAGTCCTGGTCACAAAACTAGATATCATTCTCAGCAGCATGTCATACATACAGACAATGTGTAAGGCTGCTAATATAGATTTAAAAAGAGTATGAGGCTGGCTGTAAATTAATTGAATAAATTGGCTAAGCAATGCTGGGGGTAAATTTACCGACCCACCCCCCCTCCTCCAAAAAATAGAGGTCTACTTAATCTTTTTCTAATTTTCCGCTAAATAATTCAGGTCGGTTAAAAAAAAGAAATTTTTTTTTTTTCCTATGTACAATATTGCAATATCTCAGTGTTTCAATATTTTTAACTTGTATGTTTTTCATTTTAATACTTTCAATGTCGTATTGATTTAGAGTAAAGTAAAGAAGTTAACTTCTGGAAGCAGACCAAGTAGAAAATTATAGAGTATCCTGGTCCCAGAGTCTTTAACTTTCATCAATTAAAATATCCTGAAAAGATTATTGGAAAGTGCAAAAATGTGGGGCATAGTCACAAAATGACTGGAGGATAAAGCCTTTAACCCCTTAAGACCGCAGCCAAATGTACAAGTTGTGAACAAAACCTGGCATTTGCGTTATATGTCTGTCCAAACGTAATTCACCTCTTTCATATTAAATGCACCCATGCTTATTATATATAATTTTATTCACGAGAAACAGGGCTTTCATTTTACAAATATTTAGGTATGGAACATAATTTAATATGAATAAAATATAAAAAAATGGGAGAAAATAAGATTTTTTTTAAATTTTCTTAGTTCTACGTGACATTTTAACTGTGAATGTCAAAATACTGTTTGTTTTTACTGCAATAAAATACACGTATTTGTATTTAGCTATGTCTCATGTGTAAAACATTACCCCCTATGTACAGGTTTTATGGTGTTTTGGGAAGTTACAGGGTCAAATATAGTGTGTTACACTTTTCATTTTTTTCACACTGAAATTTGCCAGATTGGTTACGTTGCCTTTAAGACCGTATGGTAGCCCAGGAATGAGAATTACCCCCATGATGGCATACCATTTGCAAAAGTAGATATCCCAAGGTATTGCAAATGGGGTATGTCCAGTCTTTTTAGTAGTCACTTGGTCACAAACACTGGCCAAAGTATTTTAAAATGCAAAAAACTAATTTGAACGCCAATTTTGGCCAGTGTTTGTGACTATTTGGCTACTAAAAAAGACTGAACATACCCCATTTGCAATACCTCAATAATTTACAATATACTGACTATCATAAACTCTTTAGTGAAAAAATCACTGAGGATAAATGGAATATCTTCATAAAGGTACTGTGGCATTACTTAACTCCGCCAAGCCTCGCAGACCTCCTCCTGCCACGCGATCTGACCGGTCTACGTGACCGCACGGCACACTGAGGGAGACTCACCTCCCTCGATCCATGCAGACCTCTTCCTGCCGCGTGGTCTGACTGAACTACGTGGCGGCGCGGCACGATGTCTATATATGGATGTGACGTAACGCAAACTCTTAAAGTGACCATGTCATCATTGCGATCCTAATCTGTTTTTGGATCGCATTGATGACGTGGACCTATCAAAACATAGGTAAGCCTATTTAAAACTTGCTTTAGCCTCCATTCATTGCCCTTTTGTGTTTTCTGTTAGATCCTCATAGAGATGCTCCTAGAGATTCCCGTGTGATTTCCTGTGTTTGACCTCGGCTTCGTATTTGACTCATGATTTTTGGTATCCTGACCTCGGCTTTGTATTTCACTAGTGATTTTAGAAATCCTGACCTCGGCTTCATATTTGACTCGTGATCTCTGGTATCCTGACCTTGTTTGTCTAGACTCTGAGTATTTCTGTTAATCTTGTCCTTGATTTATCTTGACCCTGTTTCTTGTTGTATTATATGCTAAGTCCGGCCATTCTAAAGCTCAGTAATATGTCTTTCGGATCCACCTTGATCCCATGACAGGTATATTTATCAGTATGTATCATTGGGTAATAAATATAAAAGAAACAAACTGAAACCAATGTGACTAAGTGGGAGAGTGAATCAAGAAATTAAATATAAGAAAAGGGCATTTAAAGCCTTTAAATCAGACAAATCAGAGGCATTCTTTAAAAGATATAAGGAAGCCAATAATGCATACAAAAAGGCAATTAGATGCGCTAAACAACAAAATATGGAAGTGTTAGCTAAAGAGAGCAAAACCAACATCAAAGCATTTTTAAAGTCCATAAATTCTAAAAAAATAAATAAAAAACTGAACGTGTAGGTACACTGAACACCGTGATGGGGTGTTAGTTAATGAAGACCAGGAAAAGGCTGAAATTTTAAATAGCTATTTCTTCTCAGTATATATTAAGGAAGAATGTAATAGATATGAAAATGATTGCTGCAATAAACAACTAAAGAAAGTTAATATAAACAAAGCTCCGGGGTCTGACGGCATTCACTCACGAGTACTGAAGGAACTAAGTTTAGAAATAAGTGAACCTCTGTATTTAATCTTTCAACATTTTTTTCTTTCAGGAATTGTAATGGAGGATTGGAGGAAGGCATAGGTGGTTCCTATATTCAAAAAGGGTTCAAAATCCTTGCCTGGAAATTATAGACATGTGAGCCTAATTTCTGTGGCTGGGAAAGTATTTGAAATGTTATTAAGGGATAATATTTAGGAATTCTTTGAGAAGAATGGGGTTATCATCAAAAATCTGCATGTTTTTATAAAACATAAGTCATGTCAAACTAACTTAGTTGCATTCTATAAAGAAGTAAGTTGAAGTTTAGATCAGAGTGTTGCAGTGGATGTGATCTACTTGGATTTTGCCAAGGCATTTGATACAGATCCACACTATAGATTAGTTTTCAAACTCAAAGAAATTGGTCTAGATGAAAGTTTTTGTTTTTGGATAGAACATTGGCTTAAAAATAGAGTACAGAGAGTTGTCATTAATGGTAAATTTTCAAGATGAACAGAGGTGGCAAGTCCTGTGACCGCTTCTATTTAACATATTTATAAATGATCTTGAAATAAGCATTGAAAGTTACGTTTCAGTGTTTGCAGATGACACACAACTCTGTAAAGTAATACAATGTGAGCAAGATATTACTTTGCTGCAGAGGGATTTAGTTAGACTGGGGGACTTGGCACTCAAAAGTCAGATGAAATTTACTGTAGAAAAATGAAAAGTTATGTACTGCGGGGTAAAGAATGCACAAGCTGAAAGGTAAATCTGCTACTCTGGTGACTCGGTCCCTCTGGTCACTATTCTCCAACCCTCGATTGTCAGCTGAATATTCAGGGAAGATTTTTATGGAAGCGTATTAACCAGACACACACTCTTTGCTTTCCATAATCTTCAAGTGTATTATAAAAAGGATGGCATATTTATACAGTATTGATCATGAACTTTGACATACATTGGTCAAAATATGCTTACAAAAGATAAACGTTGCTAAAAGCGGAAATAGCTGATTTTTGCAGAAGACCACATTTCTTGTGGTCAAGCATGTCTTATTTTCCATGATACTTTTCTCGGAAGCATCAGGTCAACGTTACTTTGCGGATGCGTCTGTTGATTCAAAAGCAGAAGTGATAAATCAAAAATAACCTGTGGTTTGTCTAGTTTTTAGCTCTTGTGTAAATCTTAAGAAAGAGAATATAATATCAGAAATTATAGAT